GCTAGCTAGTTAGGTTCATAGGTGCTGGATCGCCAGAGGAGTTCACCACGGGGCGGCTCGCAGCAAAATTACCTGCCGCCTGGCGGTTGGACCGTGAGTTGAAGGTCGGCCCGATCGATGGGCCAAGACGAGCCTCTGGTGGCTTCAGCACGGTCACACCATGGGGCCATCACCAGCACCAGCCGTCTGAAGAGTCATTGGGGGGTGCTTGTGGGTGAATTAGGAAAAAGTCAGGGGGTTAAGTGAGAAGGTCTCAGAGAGGAGAAAATAGTGTTAGTACTTAGTTGTCAATTGGGAGGAGTTTGAGGTCTCTTTTGCAAAATTACCAACGTCTGTGGACTCCCCATGATGGGCCAACCTCATAAGGAATTAGCTTTTTCATAAGGAATTAGCAATGGTTTTCTAATTTAATTTTTGAGCTGATCTTTGGTAAATCATATAAAATCATGTAGGTGTACAAAAATTATGAAACAAATTTTGTTACATTTCTAAAATTATGCTCTATTGGTTGGTATATTTAGTTCATGTTTATACGTATTGACATTAGGAGCTATTAAATCATTTGTGGATGCTTAATAATATTAAGTTAATTATTATAGAAATTTTTGTGGTAAATTGGTGATAGCTTTAGTCCTGAAAATTTTATAGTAGCTTCATTGTATTATTATATGCTCACTGTAAGTTTTGTAGCTTTAGAATAGACTAAGCATTATGGTAGTTAAATGCTCTTTGTTTCAATGTACATTAAATCACTAGTAGAAATAAAAATATATACTTAAATTGCCAAATTAAGGGTTTGTTAGTTGAACCCAACACTTTGCTTCATGAAAATGATAGTTAGCTTAGTATCTTATTCATTTGAGCTATCTTAGTAGTTTAGTATGCGTATTTTTATTTTAAGAGTTGTTGGTGCCTAAATGCTAAGTGTTGCATCATCATCGCATGCATGTAGAGAACGGGTTGGTGGAGATCGTTACCACCAACAATCACGAGTTCGAGAAGATCGTCGAGGAGTATGAGGAAGAGATTCTCATAGAAGAGGAGATCCTGGAGCCGACACTAACTAACTCAGCTGACACCACGCCTACCCAAGGCAAGCCCCAGTGCATAACCTCTATTTTATGAATGTGTTGTGCATTTACGTTACAAGAATTTTTTTTAAACCACATGCATAGATACACCTGTCCTAAGAGTCTTACTAGTGCAGGTTCGAGTAGATGCAATGTTTAGGTTATCGGTAGCGTGAGTAACATGCTGTTGCTCACAATAGGGGATTATTATTACTCTCATAATAAAATGACGAAAGAAAAAATGGAGACATGGCGGGATATGGTATGGGTATTGGTGGGTGTAACGGGTTGTGTCCCACGGCCAATGGGGCTTAGCTTGGTTACACTATTTTCCTTGTTCATGTCGATTAAGGACCATCCGTTGATGTGGATGGTAGTCAGATCACAGACTTATTATCTTATGCACATACTTGCTTATGGGAGCGGGAAGGATCATTACGCTCTTATCATGGGTTCTAGCTGTTTTCGGACCGACTGATTGAGAAGCGGAGAAAGGTGAAGGTCTAAGCACCATACTTTGACCAGGTCTCAAGTGTGGGGGCTTGAAGTCTAAGTTTGGAAGGGGACCTAGACCCTGTGATAGAAGTAGAATGGGTTGGTCTTGTTTGTGCTTAGGGTACAAACGGGGCGTGTATTTTGGGGTATCCAGCTGGGATATATTGGCCCCATTCGCTTGTTCGAAAAAAAGAAGCCAAATATTAGTTCATGAATCGCCATTTCCGATGCAATCAGGCAATGTGAGGAGAAGCGGCCAGACCAGTGCTGAAATTTTGGACCAAATTATGGTTCATGAATCGCCATTTCCACGAGATGGTAAGAATTGGTCTAAGATAAAACTGGAAGATAAAAGATGGTGAAATGGTTCTGATTGCTCAACCCTTGCTTAAAAGTAGAACATGTGCTTACCTATAATGGTTAGCTAATAAAGTAATCATAACTGCTAATAAAACTTGACTGTAAGGATGAACTATTAGTAATGCTTTCCGCAAACAAAAAGAAAACAACAAACCCATATTGCCTATCATATCCTTGAGAGTCGGGAAACTATTCCCACTAGTCAAGTAAGTCTTACGAGTACATTATGTACTCAGGGTTTATTTTACCCCTGTTGTAGGTGTAGCTTAAGATGTAGCTCTTGTGTGGAAGATTCTTGTGGTGGGCACATACGGATCCTTGTATCGTTTCCGCTAGATGTTTATTTTTATTTCGCTGTTTAATTATCGCACTCTAAACTCTGGTATTATAATAAATAATTTCTAAGAACTCTTGTATGAAATAGACTAAGTATTGTAAGCTCGTATTCATTATTGGATTATGGATGTAAAACGTAGATTGTTTCGAGTTCTCCCTTGGGGTGTGCTCAACGGAACTGTCTGATGTAGCTCACTTTCGAGGTGCTTAGTGTCTAATGGAAGACGAGTGCCTCCGAAAGCATGTTATTTCGGTGGTTCTGCCATAAACCTTCACTTGTACAATAATTCTTGATGTCCCCTTCCTTCCTTAAGCTGAATGATGGATAATTCTTGATGTCCCCTTCCTTCCTTAAGCTGAATGATGGATAATTCTTGATGTCAGACACTTTCTTGTTGGGTGGGAAACAAACTAAAAAATTGCAAGCCTCCAACTTGATCTCTAATCTTCCATGGCCAGTCCTTAGAGAAAATCTCTGTCAACTCACCCTCCAATTCGGCCAAAGTAATAGAACCAGACTTGATTCGGACAACTCCATAATTTGTGAGATTAAGCCACTGAGTTGATTCAACATCCGGTATTTCCAGGTGATAAAAACCTAATCCAAGGCTAGCACTACCCACATATGCAGCAACAGGGTGATCCCTCTTCCAAGCCAGGCAAGCAATCATATGATGACCAGCAATCCCACATATGAAACAGATTTTTGGCTTGGAACAATTACCCACAAAGTGCCCCGGCTCCACGCAATTATAGCATGTCAACTTCATGTACCGAGGATCGTTGACAAACGGAGGTGGTTCAGAGGTATCAGTACCTTGGGGTTGCCCTTGCTGACCACCTCTCCTAGGTGGCGGGGGAGGTTGCCTCACCGGGCGGCGGCGGCCTAGGTGGCAGCTGCTGTCAAGTAGGGGGAGGTGGGGGCACGGCGCACCTTGGTTAAGCCCCTGCTGTCATGGCCCCCGAACCTGCCAACCCGGCTGTTGATTTTGCTATTGGGGAAACCTCGTTGGATTCTGCTGTACGTTCCTCTATGGCCTTGGTGGCGGAGGGCGGCGCCAGCCTGCCAAATCCATCTCCCTCCTTCCTCCATGGGTCTCTTCAACACCTCTGCGTAGGTCCCCTTGTCTTCCCCCTTCTTCCAGATATCTGCCGCGAAACTGATTTGCACCGGAAGCTTGTGGATTCGATCAGATCGATGAACTGGGAAGCAATCGGCCACCGTGAAATCCTTCCGCTCAACCAACTCTCGCCTCACCCAGAACATTCGGCTAGATTTGGTGGTGGTGGCGGCGCTGGACTGAACCCTAGGAACCCTCGGGCGCAGAGGCGAGTCGATGGCCCATAGTTGCCCGAAGAACTCAATGACAACTTTGTCCTCACCAATCCCGCAAACCCTAGAAGGAATCCCAGCCTCAGCGGACGAGCTTGCCCTTCTCTCTCTGGCTGGTGGGGGATGCGTACCCAGGCCCTTCTGATGGGCGGACCCTCTCTCACGGTGGGGTCACGTGGACAGCCAGGGTGGGTGCGGCCATGGGGGTGGGTCAAGCTCGTGGTCCTGTCGCGACGTGGGAGACGACGAGGAAGAGGCCATCATTTGCATCTAATTTCTGCAACTTCCTATATATCTGTCTGTAATGTAAAAAGTAGCTAGTCGGGTCTTTGAACTCATGATCTATCTTTATCTAGAAAATAAAGATCTCACTTGGTGTAGTTTTCATCACAAAGAAAAATTATTTTTATTGGAACATTGATGAGCTTATTATTGTTATCCAACTAATCAAACTATAAATTGAAATATTGAGTAGGTTGTTGTCCAAACCGGATTAAATAACTGTCTTCAAGTTGTTAGCGTGTACCGGTACAATCCCCAACTAAGACCGCCATATGAAAAATTAAGAGAGGTCTTTGTCATATAATCGCCAGTGACAGACGAATCATTGACATGTTGACAACTAATACTTTTATCCTAGATTAAAATTACATCATGGAGCTCCATATTTAACTTTACATAACAGATACATAGTAAAAAAATTAAAGCTATGGTATATATTTTTGAGATAAATATTTTTATGCTTTGCAGCAGGAGAAAAAATGTACCGAAGTTGTAATTCGATGCAGGTTTATTAGTGCATTGTCATATTGTTATCAACATTAACTTATATTATGGATATAAAAATAAATTATATTTTTTTAAATTTTGTAAAAGGAGAAAAAAATAAATAGAGATGTACTGCACCATTCTTGCAAGGTGCTGCATGCGGATTAATTTTTCATGATGGCAATGATCAAATGTTACATTATTGTTGCCAACGATGAATTCTAGAGTTCACTAGGTCGTTGGAATATTTTGCATTTTCTTATCCATTCGTATAGGCTCCGGCGGCAGAACGTTCTAGTCACAGTGGCACGAGAGACGCAGGGCAGGGGCGATAAATTATCAGCCTCGCCCTTGGAATAATCGATCCCAGGCTTTTGCTGCCCGCCTTGGTTCCATCCCAAGCAAGACACCCGGCCGGCGCCCCCGCCGCGTGGTGGCGTGCTAGAGGTAGAGGTAGACACATAGCCTAGGTCGTCGGGACTCGGGAGAGCATGGCCGGCGACGAGGCGGACGCGCACGACTGCGCGTCGGGGCGGCTGGAGAGCATCCTGACTGCGGAGGCGGAGGCGTCGTCCCCGTGGGCCGCGTCGTCCATCTAGCTGCGGCTGCTGACGCGGCTGGCGGCGCCGGCGGTGGTGATGTACATGATCAACTACCTCATGTCCATGTCGACGCAGATCTTCTCGGGCCACCTGGGCAACCTGGAGCTCGCCGCGGCGTCGCTCGGCAACACCGGCATCCAGATCTTCGCCTACGGCCTCATGGTACGCACAGTCATACATGCATATCCCCTGACTGCAGGTTTCTTTCTCCTCCGCCTTCTGATTGTTTTGATTTGTCGTCGTGGATGGATGCGTACGTAGTTCGTTGTCGATCCTTCTCCGATTATCCGGTCGGGCTCCTCGATTAGACTGTTTTAGTTAGTTTTAGTTTGTTACCATCGATTATCCGGGCGTGCAGGCAGGCATTATAAAGAGCGAGAGGAGGGCAGTATGATACTAGGAGTAGAATATATACGACCTCTGCGGCGGCCATTCTGCCAACCAGTTCTTCATTCTTGGGCCAGTGCAGACCCGCACCCGCCACGTTAGAATTGTAGGTAGGTTTTGACCAAATACAAGTCGTGTTTAGAATTGTTGAGGGATGTTTGAATATGCATGGGAGCAGGACACGACACGATCGACTTACGCGAGGAGGGAGCTCTTTGTCAACAGTCTAGTCTAGAAAGAAAAAAAAAAAAACAAGGAGGTGACTCGTGAGGCTGGCAATGGCAAGCCAATCCGGGGCACTAATCGATCCTGAGCAAGAGCGACATCATTCCGATCCTACCGCGCAACCTCCGGGACGCTCATGACGAAATTAAAGGAGACGACACAATCGGCGAGCCCTCCTGATAGATCCTGAGCTGCTGCAACCGCAAACAAAGCGGACGAAATCCAGCGCTCCGGCCGGCCGGCTTGCTGCTGCTCATCGCCATCAGAGTGGCGCTAGCAGAAGCGAGGTACCTTTGAGTGAGACCTGCTACCAAACAAATTGGCTAGTACTGCCTAGTGGCGGCGCCAGAACGGCTGCTTCTGCAAGGAGCCATGGAACGAGCGAGCTGAGGGCCGGCCGGCCGACGGGCAGAGCGTGGCCCCGCTTTCATTTCTCGTAACGTCCTCCGATCCTGTAGTGCTCGTCGTCTCGTCGGGGCGTGCTCGTTTCCTTTCTAGACGGGTGTCCCCGTTGGTTGCCTACCTGATAGTAGTGCTAGCAAAATTGGGCCTCACGTCTAGTAGATCTCTCTGACCGTCACACCGCGGGCACCTGTGTTCATAAAGAAATTGACGATACATACATACATGCATGGACAAAACGGTCGCCATCGTACGTGAGCGGTGTCGATGCTTCCAGCTTTAGTTTGGTTTCTTGGTGGCTCTAGTCTACATAACCTCCAAATGTTAGCTTCTGGTCCTTTCCTTTTGACTCTTTCCAACATAAATGAGCCAAACCACAAGATCGATGGCGAAATGGATAGATTTTATATCATCCACAGTGCCACACCCACGCCCGGATTTCGGTGGATTTTTTTTCCCGATCCAAAGCATTTCCAGATGATAAGCTCACCCTAGTTGCATGGATAATAATCTTTTACCATTTTATACGCTCTCTAAATTAAACCTGCTTACACATTTTCGCTGAAATTATTAATTGACCTTTTTTAGTAACAAACTACAATTAAGTGTGCATGGTGCAGAACACCCATGCTGTTAAATTCTAGAATAAATCGAGAGCACCAATGCTATAAAAAAATACTTAAATTTAGAAGGACAGATTTTCCACAACAATAAACCTAACCCACTAATCTACGCTAAGTTTAGGTCAAATCATATACGTGTGAAGATGTTCTGTAAACTTAAGGTTTAATACCATCTTAAATTAGTAGTATGTCCGTCTTTTAGGCCTTTTACTTAATTTGATTGTATCTTCTGCTTAAACTTTAAGTTGTTACTGATATGTGACCATCACCACCATAGTTCAAGAAGAGGAGTGGCCCCACATCTTAACAATTTGTTAAAAAAACATTCTTGTCCATATGACCACGAGTAGAGATACAGCTCACCGTTTTTTTGGTTAAAGTTATGTACGTGAGTGAATATTTGAAAAACAATAATGTTCAAATATATATTTTTCTATCTCTAAATCTGAATCGGGTATTTCAACACCAATATGGGCTGTACATCGTGAATTCGTGATGAGCCCAAGTCTGAATAGACGGGCCTGCATCATTGTCGACTATTGCAAATGTAGTTCGCATGTATGGGCCTTATTCACAATATCATGAAATCGGCCCGAGTCTTCTGTTTAAATTTATTTGTCGCGAATCACGGTTCCGCCAAAATGAAGAACCAGATGTTCATAATAGTTTGGTTGTCGCAGCTGGGCATGGGCAGCGCGGTGGAGACGCTCTGCGGGCAGGCCTACGGCGCCCAGAAGTACGACATGCTGGGCATCTACCTGCAACGCTCGGCTGTGCTCCTGTGCGCCACGGGCGTCCCGCTGGCCGTGGTCTACGCCTTCTCGGAGCCGATCCTGGTGTTCCTGGGGCAGTCGCCGGAGATCGCCCGCGCCGCGTCCGTCTTCGTGTACGGCCTGATCCCGCAGATCTTCGCGTACGCCATCAACTTCCCGATCCAGAAGTTCATGCAGGCGCAGAGCATCGTGCTCCCGAGCGCCTACATCTCCACCGCCACGCTGGCGCTGCACCTGCTGCTCAGCTGGGTCGTCGTCTACAAGGCCGGCCTCGGCCTGCTGGGGGCCTCCCTGGTGCTCAGCCTCAGCTGGTGGCTCATCGTCGCCGCGCAGTTCGCCTACATCGTGATGAGCCCCAGGTGTCGACACACCTGGACGGGGTTCACCTGCCAGGCCTTCTCGGGCTTGTGGGACTTCCTCAAGCTCTCCGCCGCGTCCGCCGTCATGCTTCCAGGTCTGTATGGTGAGTAGTAGTGTAGCACGTTACCATTCATGCATCCTTCACTATCTATCCCTATTAGCTACGATCTATTTGCACTGCTGCACTGCAGCTAGAAAATCAGAAACAGCATTAATCTTGTTGACTTGTTCTCTGATCTGATCTGCAGCATGACTATTTCTGGGTGGGTGTTCATGATCTCAGTAGGGTTCAATGCTGCTGCTAGGTAGGTTCGCAACTCAACTACAAACTACACCTGCCAGGTTTAATTTTCTTACGGTTTAATCTGTGTATCCTAACTAACTTCTGAATGATTGATTTCCAGTGTGAGAGTGAGCAATGAGCTCGGTGCCGGCCACCCAAAATCTGCCTATTTCTCAGTGTGGGTAGTGACTGCGGTCTCTACACTGATATCTGTCATTCTTAGCATTGTGATCCTCCGCCTGCGCAACTACATCAGCTACTTGTTCACAGAGGGTGAGGTGGTGTCGAACGCGGTGGCGGATCTCTGCCCACTGCTTTGCCATCACGCTCATTCTCAACGGCATCCAACCTGTTCTGTCAGGTAGATTTCAGAGACCTCTCAATCTCTCAAGTGAACCTGCTACATGCTACTACGTACCAGATTAGTAAACGTAGCATCCAAAACCTGCTTTACCAATTGTTTTTGTCCATCATTTCGAAGCTTGAAGCTTTTCTAGTCATACCTATTGAAATGCACGCATTGACCTGTCATACTTCAACAATTAGGTCAGTAGGAACAATTTATCCTCCAACTGACTGAGCAATCATTCAGTATGAGGAACTTTAGATGTTTGCACTAAAATGATTATTAGGTAATCAGTCGATTTGCCACATACTAAAATTATATTAATGGTTACCAAGTCTCTCATGCAATGATGCAACATTGCAACCAATGAAAATGTCTATATGTCCTCGTGAAAAAGAATGATCTGTTCACATTTTACACTATACATTTGCATATAATCAGACTCGGTAAGCACTCCGAGCAACTTTGGTGTCATGTCACTACTCCATATAGGACGGGCAATGATTAATTCTCCTACAAATCATGAGGTGGCTTAGTGGGAAAATGCTTCCCATCTCTTTCATTCTTAATTGAACTTTAAGTGCTGAATGGGGAGAGCACAGCAAACTTACATCATGATCAGAAATAAATGTATGATACCTCGACTGATTATTTCTGATCATGATGTGTAGGAGTAGTTCGCCGTGTGTTTTGAACATTTCTAACAATCAAATATTTCACATAAATAGGTGTCGCTGTTGGGTGTGGGTGACAACAATTCGTAGCCTAGCTACGTGAACATATCGGCTGTTACTACATAGTTGGTGTTCCCCTTGGCGCCCTCCTCGGGTTCGTCTTCAAGCTCGGTGTAAAGGTAATGATCTCAAATGCATAGTTAGTAATGTTTTTTAAATTTTGTATACCGAATGATGATGAACTCTAATGACGTACTCATGCCTCTCCTGACAGGGTATTTGGGGTGGTATGATTGGAGGAACTTGCATGCAGACGGCTATTTTGTTGTGGGTCACCTTGAGAACTGATTGGAACAAAGAGGTAGGAATTCCTAAAACTTGCATAATAAAAGATACATTTTCATTTTTACTTTTGTATTTAGGTTCAATCATGAATGCTAAGCTCTGTCGCACAGCTAACTAACTGTTTGTTGTTGCTACTTGTTTCCGTTGTCTCTGTTTGGATAATTATGTTTCAGGTAGAGGAAGCACAGAAAAGGTTACACAAATGGGAGGATAAGAAGACGACGGAGGAGCCCCTTCTTGCGGGGATCGGCAATGACAATTAATTTTTACTGGATGGATGGATATCCACATCAATCTCCGGCCGGCTTCGATCACCACCGTGACCGTCAAGATATGGACCCTGCCTGCAAGTGTTTCTCCGGAGTGTTTGGATTTTTTTTACCATAACAGTAACAGTGATATCGATCAAGCCGTGGAGAATTTGTATACGTCCCGACGTTAGATGAATGTACTCCTTCGTATCTCACAAATTTTGCAAAGCAGAAAAGGAAGATTTGGTTACAGATCGAACTGACGTGTCTTTTGAGTTAGAGAATTCGGAGCATACAAGTGGATTTTTTCTACTTTTCAAAAAATTCGCTTCGTTTTTTCGGTTGCTACACCGTGAGCAGAAGAAATTAATGTGCCCAGCAAACAACGCAACATGTCGGCAATCCAAATCTGCAGCATGCATATATCGGCTCTCAAGATAACGGAAATAAATATCCATCAAAATTAGGAGCCACACGATCGGAATCCATATGTACTTCAAGTTATATACTGCATTGAAGAGACAAAATATGGCGATGCAGACAATGGCATATGCCACACCAACAAGACTCTTATAATATTTCTTGTACATCCAGAGATAGATCCAGTCGTTGTTGGTAGAATGAGCGATGAGCCCAGTAGTCTAGATGTATAACGATCGATGTGTCGTCATCGTCTCGCGTAAGAAAGTAGGAGAGGAGGAGAAAACAATGGCAAACAGGCAAACAATTTCGCCATCTCCTGATGTGGATTGTGGAGTAGTATGTATTGGATTGGGACGTCGCGCTCGCGCGCGCGCGGCTTCAATTTGAAGACGCCGTGCGCCGCCGGGCGGGTGCGCAAGCAGCCTCCCCTCATCATCAGAAAAAGGCTGAAGACGCCGTCGCCGCCGGCCGTGTCCGCAAGCGGCGGCCTCATCGCCAGAATTCATCATCAGAAAAAGTTAAAAGCTAAAAAGCGCGCGGCGGGTAGCTAGGCGCGCGGCTGCGCCACGTAATAAACAAACAAAAATTTCTACAAAACAACCCAGCGTATGATTGCCGGGAGCGCAGTGATGAACTGATGATCGCGAGTTATAGTACCCGGCCCACGTAAACAAACTCGTAGTAGGCGGCGTCAATGCAGACTTTGGCAGGCGGTCGAGCATCTCTCTCTTTTTTGCGTCATCGCTGACGGCACCGGTCGCTCGGTTGTTCCTCCGATCCGGCTTCCCGTTCCTGGCAGCTCAACATCATCGCGTCATGGGCCATGTTCGTTTCTCTTATAATCCATACTTTTCAGCTTGTTTTTTCAGCCGGAACAATGTTTTTCTCTCACAATAAATCAACAAAAACAATGTTTCAGCTTATTTTTTTCAGCGAAGCGAACTAGGCCTACGGTGGCGATCGACAGTGTAGAGTGTACGCCATCACGTCCAGAGTTCCAACCATCCACCGTCCCTTCTACAAGTTTCACAACCAAGGCGCTGTCGTTTCTTATCAATAGCGTATTATAATTGTATCCTTCCTTTTTCGAGCAGCCAGACATTTTAAAATTTGACATATAGTTTAAAATACAATTCTCATTTTTTTGGAGTTAGCCAATTTAAAATTTGATCAAAGATATATAAAAAATGCTAGCGTTTACGTTACAAAATAAATATCATTATGTACATTATAAAATATATTGTCATAATAAATCTAGTTAGACACATAAATATTAAGTGAAAGAACAAGCGATCAGAGGAGAGGATGAGTGAGCCAATTCAAATTTCTTGACCGAAAAATTGGCCTCTGTCCCCAACAATCCACAAAGCGCTCTCGAAAGCCCGAAATCACAAACCGAAGTCATACAAGCCAACTGGTGACCAGATGACTCCGACTCACTCAAATAAGACATTCGAAAGGTACAAGAAGCAACACAGCGGAGAACGCTTTCGAGAAAAGCAAATCGCAATCGAAACCCAACTGGGTGTAGCTAAACTGGACTAGCCGGTTTCAGGAACCAGCCTCGCCGGTTTTTCTGCACAAACTGGTCTGGCCAGTTTCAGGAACCGGCCTAGCCAGTTTTTATGCACAGCAACCCGAGACAATCTCAAAAAAGGTGATTCTTACTCAAACTAAGTTTTGTACAGAGCTTTCTTAAGGAGTTGTGAAACTATTCCCAAAAGCTCAACTCCAAAAACTTCATGAATCAAAGCAGATCTAAGAAACCATCTCCAAGAATGGGCTTTTCTCAATTTTCCTCAAAAACTCATATCTTCATCCTCACGAGGAATCTACCAATGCAAGACCAGTGTCTAGAGAAGTTCTTCAGACGTCCCCAAACAAGCCCAAGTGCTTAGATCGAAGATTTCAAAAAGAAAGCTGAAAAACCAACAAAACAAAGACAAAACAAGAAAGGGGAGAGGATCATATCGATTCAAAAGACCCATGGGTCAACTTGATTAAATTCAGCAATAACAAGTTACAAAGACATGGCCTATCCTCCTTCCTTCATCCTTTCTCTTTCAGATCAGAGATCAGACGCTCAAGGCAGTCACCCGTCTCTAATGCTAATTTTCCTAAGCAGTTAAAACTTGGCTAGCCTATAATGACTTAGATGGGAGAGATGGCTGTCTTGGGCAGCCTCTATCCTTATTTATAGGGCTATTACATATTCCAATATTACCCCTAGATATTTCCCTGAACCAATTTACCCTAGGGGCAAAATGGTCCAAGTTAAGTTTTGCACACCGGACGGCCACAATTCCTTGGTGAAGCTTTGCCTCAACGACACTGGCCGCTCAGATATTCCCTCTGTGGCTTCTTGTTCCTGGCGGCCCAACATCATTTTATATTTATATCCGTGCCACGTAGATGGGGCCTACGCCACTGGTGGTGACAGTGTAGAGCGTACTCCATTAGGACCAGAGTCCCAACCGTCCGCAAGTGGAGTAGTGATCTTAGGTCACCCACAATAGGTGACTCATAAGCTAGCTCTAATCATTTTTCATATTTTAATAAAAGAGAGAAAAACTAGCTCTTGATTAAGTGCTAGGCTCATACTCACATTCCAAGATCATGTGAGAGTATCATTTGAGGCTATCCATGTTATGAGCTATATGCTAAAAGTTAGCACTATTGAGTAAGTTGGCTTAGAGCTAGTAACTAGCTTATACCATTGCGAGTGCCCCGTCAAGTTTGGTAGTTTAGAAAATGAACTCCCTCACCTAAGGTTTGGCAATGATATGGAAATATGAATCAATGGTGGTAGGATTAGTTGGATCCGGGGCTTAGTTATATATGGTGGTACCATTTGTTGAATGTAGTTGGAGAGTTATATATGGTGGTACCATTACTTAGGTTCTACCATCTTGTCGGGGTTATGATTCCCAGGTGTCTCAAGGCATCGATTAGTTAGCGGGCCAAGTGGCCCACGATACATTAGCTAGCGAAAGCGCAAACGATCGAGGCCTTGCTAAGCCAAGCAGACCAGGTTAGATGCTAAGGCCAAGGTCGGCCATGACCTCTCCCTTCTGCCTTAGCCGCAAGACGCACAAGAAACTCACAACCTATCCATTGTCCCGACACCTGAGAGGAACAGGGAGAGGTCGAGCCCAGCCAAGCGCGCCTGCTCTGATAAGAGTGGACACGCCGCACTGACCCCGCAAGCGCACTGACCCCGCAAGGACTGAGAGGACAACGGTCACCTTGGTCCGGTCAGACGACATCCTTGTACCACGCAGCACAGACAAGACAACACGGCACGGCGGTGACTGCTAGTACGGCAACCCGCCAACCAAATATGGTCCAACAAGATACGCGTACGATTCTACCCACTATGGGATGAGATCCACGACGGAGGCCTTGACTTAGGCCATCCATACCGGCGGGAGCCACAACCCCGGAGCTCGGGATCGTGGCCACCAACTCCACTAGCCGACTAGGCGATCGACGACCTAGCGGCGGCTACCAACTCCTGTACGACGCCCCAAGGAGATTAGGAGGCAATAACGAAGGCCACGGCGCAGACCACGCCGCGCAGGACACCTGGCGAACCACCATCGTGCCTACAGTGCTGCCATGGCCGGTACAGTAGCACCACGCCGCACCTTACTACAACGTGGGCATAAGACCATGATGACAACCACGCCCAGACATGCACCACAAGATGGCATAGCTTGCAAGCCAAGTTAGCTAGGCCTCTCCCTCAGACTCATGACCCCTCAGTCATGAGAACCTTCTTCTTTGTACATGCTCTGGCCCCGAACTATATATAAGGGCAGCCAGGGCATCCTTCCCAAAATCTTCATTCTGAATCGTTTGCCCATTCTTCACAACCTCTAGACTCTTGAAGCTTCTCTTCAGGCAGTTCATCTCTCTGCTCTAGCTCTCCTATCTCTTCCACCATTCTTACACGAAGAATTCGGACACCGAGGAGTCCCCAGCGTAGCTGACGATGAAGCCCATGCGATGAGCAGTCCAACCAACTGGTTCGCGGCGAAGTGAACACCGAGCAGGAGTGAGTGCCGAGTAGTCCGACCAGTTAGTTGGCGATGAAGTCCGTCCGATAGGCTGTCCGACTACCCGGACGACAATCATCGTGTCCAGTCCCTGAGCGTAAGCTCGTTGACCGAACCATGCCCCTATGAAACAAATGTGTAGAATGAGTAGTACATGATATAAAAATAAAATATATGAACTTCCGGAGAAGAATCAACAATGGTGATGAAATAGTGTATGCAGCTCGGCGATCAGTTAGTGTGAACACTTAGTGTTATTCTGAAGATGTGTTTATATTTAATATAAACTGCCTGACCAGTTAGTGTGTAGCTGAGTCTCCAGCCCTAGCAAGCCTATTAACCATAACACGGAGCGCGGAGCCCGTGTGCGTGTAGGAAGAGCAGGGCATCGCTAAGGAGCCGCTGCCGACCACCCCTAACGCAGTGGGCAGGCGCTCGTGCATGTGTAGGGAGAAGCCGAAGACAGGGCCGTCTCTGGGAACATTCGAGCATCAACATGGTTGTTCGGGGATTTGCCTTAGGCTTAGCTGT